AAAACATAATATCGTATAAGCTTCTAATGATCTCGTGATTAAATTTTAGTGCATTAGAATCATCTCATCAAGATGATCATTTTGGCAGTAAAATCATTCAAAACGAACCAGTCTATTCAATATTTAAGTATACACATTTTTCATAGTAATTGTTAAATTTCTTTTAAAAAAGCAGACAATAACTATATAATTTAAAAAATAATTTTTTTATGTAAACAAAATATAGAATTTTAAATAGAATGATTTTTTGAGGTAACATGAGTGCTACATAAATTTCCATCAAAATTCAAAAATTCAGGGCAAATTTGCAGAAGAAACGGTTTAAGAGAGAATTTATAATAGAATAAGTGAATTATAGATTGCAAAGACTTAGCTGTCTAGAATTTGGTTAATTGTATTAATTTAGATATTATTTCCATTTATTTTTAACAAATAATCCTAGGCAGTAAAAAATAATATATAATAAAAAAATTTCTATCAATAATCTAAACTATGAATCTTGATCCACTTAGTGAAGAAAAACACCAAAAAATACCCAAGACGAGCAGAATTATTAAAAGCTTTAAGAATAAATATTTTAAAAGGTCATGCAAATTTTCTCGCAAGTGATATGACAATATCAGGACTAGAGAATTGTTATAAATGTAATGAAGAAATTTGTTAAATCTGCCCAAAACATTTACTATACTAGTGTGTGGTCATACACTCCATCATGACTATCTTGAAAAAAGTAAGAGATAATCAAAAAACTTATCCAATTTGTTTCGTAGGTAATAAAGAAATGGCATCAACTGAAATTCATGATATAGATATATCAGATGTAGTGGAAGATGAAAGTGAACAAACCTCTAATCTAACAGGAGCAGTAAGTAACTTATCTGTAAACAGTGGTAGAGCTATCCCATGAAGTGAAACAAGATCTATGAAATCTGATAAAGTACAAGGTTTAATAAAAGAATTATCTATGCCAAGTGAGCCGATTGATGATAACAATAGAGAAAATAAGAGCAAAGAATCAAACCAAAAACTTTACTCCAGTTATACTATAATGCAAACCACAGAAAACATGTAACTTGTACCTACCAAGAAGAAATAAGATGCTGATATCTCTTTGCTAAAAAATTTAAAAGAGTCAAAAAAATTAAAAGTGATAAGAGTAGGTTCAATGATCAACAAGCTAGAGGGTTATTATATAGTAAAATTGCAACCAATCTTCTAGGTTTCACAAGAGAAAGTTTGCGTAAAAAACCAGCAAAGACAAGAAATATCTATAAGTTGTTTGGAGAAAGTTATGACCCTTATACCAAAACAATAGTTAAGGGGATAGAGATTGAAAAAATCGAGTGAATTCGAACATAATGCTGATTACTGATTATATTTCAAAGCTCTTTAACTAGTGCAGATCACGTTCCCAAAGTTGATGCCAACGTGATATAAATATTTTTTGTTATTAGTAAATCATATACGTACGTACGTATAAGTATAACTGATATGTATAATTAAGAGTAGAGTGTACATAGATCATTTTTTATATGATCTGCATTGCAAATTCTATTTTAGACAAAAAATGAACACAAGCTTATAATAAAAGTTTTTTAAAATTTAATAAAAATTTATAAAATTTTTATAATATATATATTAAAATAGTATATATCTTTTTATAAAATTTTAAAGTTTATTAATTATAAAAAATTTATACTTGTATATATTATAAAGTTTGCCTAGATTGACTCAAATTTGTCTAGGTAGTACAAAATAACCTATTCTAATTGGTTGATTTCCGTAATTCTATAAGATAAACTATATGGGATCTTTGCTAAGAAAATCACACTCCGACATTTTCCAATAAAGCTAATAATTCGGAATATTTTAAACTAATATACCGGTTCTTATTTACATATAAATCATTTTTTGCCTTATTGATTCAATAGCTTATCGAATGAGCATTTGAATCAATGAAAGCAAAAATAGTTTACATGCAAATAAATACTGGTATGTTGGTTTAAAATGTTCCGAATTAGTCTGATCAGAAAATGTCGAAGGGTGATTTTCCTAGCAAAAATCCTATATAGTAAAAAATTATATCTAATTTTTAAATTATTGTATCTCAATAAGTTTTAAACTAATTTTAATAAATTTACTACTGTTAGAATCACAAGAATCTACTCTACAACTTTACTTAGAACTACAAAAAGATTTAATTAGTAAAATTATTTGTATTTTATAGTACAAAAAATATTTGTCATCAAGTTTATATATAATTTTAAATTAGTACATCCTACCTTTAAATTTATATACGTATAAATTTGTTAAATGTCATCAGGCTTTCAATGTTTAGCTTGTTTACTGTGTGCTGTTTATGGTTTTTAATTATAGTGATAGTTTATAATAATTCGCCACAACATATAATTGGAAGCTCGATTATAGATTTTCCCTAGACGACACTCAGTAAACAAACTGGTTGAAAGCTTGATGACAGGTTTTCTTTTGGCGGTACTCATATAAGCATTAAATCAACATATACCTAAGGCTTATGCACATGAAATACAAGTGCCACACATTACAGATTTGTATGATAAAAAAATTTAACACGTATATACGTAGAATGAAAAATATATATATCAGTCGGTACAAATATCACATGTTGAAAATTTTAATAGTAGATCAAATGATTGATGCACCCAAATTTTATAAGTAAAATTTAGACAAATTTTGCTTTCTAGGCTTCTTTAACAGTAAAGAAGTTGTTAGTTTAATTTCTAGGTATCATTTCACAAATTCTCTGACATTTGAAGGTTCTTCCCATGAAATTTCAAGAGTGGTTAAAAATAAAATCCAAAAGAATCTTGATCATGAAGTTAGCCAATTTTTTGACAATTTTTACTATTTGCTTATAAGTGATGCATGTTGTTTACCCAAAAATACCCAAAAAAGGTAATGATAAACAGTCAATTAAATTTATGTAATTGACTGTTGATAATTCCCTTTTTTAGAAATTTTTGGGTAAACAACATGTATCACTTATAAGCAAATAGTAAAAATCGTCAAAAAATTGGCTAACTTCATGATCAAGATTCTTTTGGGTTTTATTTT